GAGTGTTCCATCTCATTTCCCTTTGGGGTTGCTGTAGGTGATCTGGAAGTCTGGTTTTGAGACTTATTTATGTGTTTTCTCATTTTGACTGGGGCTGCGGGCTGTCAGCACCTGCACGGATTACCTCCTCTGAGCTGGGAGAGGTGGGACAGGGGCCGGGAGCAGCAGTAGGGATGGTGACCCAAAAGCCCTTTTCTGTGGGCTGGGAGCCACGGGAGGGATGGTGGCCAGGAAGCCCCTTCCTCTGGACCAGGAGCAGTGGGATGGCATCTCAGAAGCCCCTCCCTCTGGGCCAGGAGTGGTGGGAGGGATGGTGGCCTGGAAGCTTCTTCCTCTGGGCCAGGAGTGGCAGGACAGAAGGTGGCCCAAAAGCCCTTTCCTCTGGGCTGGGAGCAGCAGGACTCAGTACCTTGGTCTGGTGGTCTGGTGGTCTGGTGTCCTCTGCGTCTTTGTAGTGTGGAACCAGATGGCTGCCTGTCTGCAGCAGGGTGATTCAGTGTCTTCTGCGTGACTTGCGACCTCAGTAGCACGTGCACAGACCTGCCTGTGTGCAGTGGGCTGATTCAGTGTATTCCATGCAACTGGGGACCTCGGTAGGGCATGGGCAGACCTGCCTGTCTGCAGCGGGGTGATTCGGTGTTTTCCACATGACTCAGGACCTATCCCTTACATCTTAACCATGCTACTTAGTGTAGTAGCACTCACACCCTTCAGCCTAGTGTCCTTGATCCTAGCATGGCACCATGAATCAATCCCAACATCACACACTGTAGATCGAGACACATCAGAAAAGGCTCTTCATGAGGCTTTGGGGGAATATCTAGACACAGACCATAACAAGGGTAGAGATTATATTCCTTAGATAATAGCCTGAGCTTCCTTCTAAACCCTTAAAAACTCCTGGACAAGAGCCTTCTTGGGTATCCTGCTCAGAACCCCTTCAGGCTATCAAGTACCTTCCTTATGTTTATAGCTTTTAATGCCTTGCCTTTATATATTTTAAGTAAATTTTCTTGCACCCTGCCTCCTCCATCCATTTTTTCACAGTGACACATGACTCTGGCATTCTGATAAAAAATACCATGCTGTTTTTATCACTGTAGCTTTGTAGTATAATTTGAAATCAGGTATTGTGATGCCTCCTACTTTGCTTTTGTTGCTCAGAATTGCTTTTGCTACTCTGATTCTCTTCTGGTTCCATACGAATTTTAGAATTGATTTTCCTAATTCTGTAAGAAATGCTGGAGGAATTTTGATTGGGGTTGTGTTAAATCTATATGTCACTTTTGGAAATATGGGTATTTTGACAATATTAATTCTGCCCATCCAGGAACAGGGGATATCTTTCCATTTGCAGATGTCCTCTTCAATCTCCCTGTTCAAAGCACTACAGTTTTCATTGTAGAAGTCTTTCACTTCCATGGTTAGGTTGGACTGACTTTTCTGGCACACTTTATAAATTTGATATTAGTTAATCCAAGGAACTCTGAACTTAGTTCTCAAATGAGGGCTTCCTGGAATCCTAGCCTTCATCACCTGGTCTATGATCCCATTGGAAAAGCAAGAATCCCCAGGAAGACCACAGGTCAGAAGGTGACCTCAAATAAACAAACAAGAGACAAACACTGAACTCCTGTGGGGATACACACTGTATATCATCCATCAGACTCTGCACTTCTGCACACCTTTATAAGCCTGATTCTGGTTACTTGTGCTTATGAATAACTTTTCAAAGATGTTTGTATAGTGAGGATAAATTTTTCCCCTGCAGAACACAGGCATATTTGTTTGCAAAAAATATGATAAAGATATTTTTCTCTGGACAAAAATTTGACAAGCTTACTTACTGGTATCCCACTTAAAGGACTGGGGTTTCCTAAACATGGAGCTTCTTAAGTCTAAAACAAAACCCTGTCATGAACAGAATCTGCCAAATCTTGTCTCTATGTCCCACCATGAGATGTCATGTGGAAGGGTATCTGATATAAACATGAAGTTTTGATTGTTTACTGTGCTGTAAGTAACAAAATCCTTTGTGTCTGATGTAGGAGTTTCAGGCCTTCTGCCAGCATCAAGGAGCTGTGTCATGCTAACCTGTTGGCTTGTGAGCAGGATAAAATTCAAGACCCATCACAATACTGACAAATCCCAAAGCAGCCAACACATCTGTACAAGTATGGACACTGTTACTGTCTTTTAACGAAGGAAAATAGAAAGAATGTGGTAACTATTAATAGGCGTGTTGTTAAAGTAATTGTGATTCATTTATGCAATAGAACATCATGCATCTTTGAAAATTGCCATAGATATTTAGATATTGACTTGGAAAGAAATTCAAGACACTTTGAGTTAACAAATAAATTATATAAAATCATATATATTACATAGACAAGAAATTTAAAGCATATACCTAAAGCTTATTTATCTTGAAGAATTTTGGCAGAACTACTGATTCTATTCTTAATATTTTTTTTTATTTTTTCATTATGATATCACTTCTTTACTTTCACACTGCAAACATAATAAAAACAACTTGTAAGAATATATTTTTCAATAATCTTAATAAAGGATAAGGGTAAGCTCAGAATAAAGTTACCAGAAATAAGGACTATATTTCTCAGCTCTTTCCATGCAAGGAATTATTATCATATGACCAACTTCTGGTTAAATAAACATAAATAGATGCATTGTGTGCATCTTCTATTGAGTATTGTTAAAGGGATAAAGCATATTGTTCTTTGCCCCTTTTTTCTTCTAGGAATGCAGACTTGATGGCTGGAGCACAAACAGCTAACTGGGACTATGACACAAAAAGCCACATGTTGAGAATCCTGGAATACAAATGTTCAGAGGAATCTGTTTTCCTAATATCATGCAGTGCTATCCCAACCTGACAGTTTCTAAAATAGAATCCCTTATTTTGGATTTGGGATAGTTTGAAGCTGAACTATACCCTAAAATTAGGAGAACAAAGAATCAGAAACCTTGGTCACCGAGAAAATACTGACACTATGAACATCAATAAAGATATCATAACTAGTGCAAGCCTTCAAAAAGAGAAGATGAATAAATACTCCATAAAAATTTCTGAAGTGCTAGCAGGATCCTGAGGATTCTATCACTCTTACAGAAAACTAAATTTCCTGCTGATAACATGACAACTTAAGTTGGAAAGACTGCTTTTGAAGCTGTCTTCCAGAATGCAGGAAGTGAATCACACCTCTGCATTCATGAAACAAGTTGCTTTAACTTCCTAAAAGACCAGAAAATTAATACAGAATGGAAGAAACTACTTCCAGGGAAAGGAAATTTAACTAAGAGAACTTTAAAAGTTACTTTCCTATCTTTCGTTTTCCATTTGGAATTTTCTGAATGGCTATTATACCATTCTAAAAAGAATCTACAGAAAATCAATAAACGGAAAAGTTCAATGTAGTATAATGTAACTGAAGTTGGAAATATATAATATTGTACTGAACTGAACTAATCCTACAAGATACTTTTTCTTGTTACAACTACATTAATACATTAGTGTACTCTTGTACTTTTTGTTATAAAGTCAAGTCATTTTTGTGCAGCAGGACATGAGAAAATTTGATTTTAAGTCTCATTTCTTATTTCCTTTAACCGAAATGAGTATCAGGCAAAGGATCTAGACAACCACCCTGAGAAATCATAATTCATCTACAATGAATTCTTGGTGTATACAATCAGGAATTAGTGAACGTATAAAACAATACTATAGCAAAGTTCTTTATAGATCATTAAATATTGCAAGTGTTATGCAGTGTTTAACAATAGTGTCATTCTTCAGTGCATATATTTCCTAAGTCTTTGAAATTGAGAGATCTGCTCTTAAATTTCGGAGAATTTTTCTTTGAATTTGGGAGTTGTTATATATAACTTGCTTCTAAAATCAGCATGCTTGCCAATTTAATCCATGTGTGAATGATTAATTAGAAATTCAAATGGTCTGAGTTAAATACTATTTCTTTTCTCTTTTGTCATATGTCAATAACACCTCTCAAAACATTCAGAAAACCTCATAGTACTAGGTTCAAAATACCCACTTCTTTACCAATTAGTCTAGCTGTGCAGTCAGGCACATACATCTCAAGATTGTCCAAGGCCACTCAGCTCAGCACCATGTCCTTAGATACAAAATAGGCCAGAGAAGCCAGAGTTTACCTGGCCATCTAGCGAGATAAGTCAGGACCCATATCAGCAGTCCTCCTTTTGGAGCTGACAGTGGAGAAATCACAAGAATAAAATAAATTTTGCATAAGGTATAGTTGTCTTTGATCATGGTGATCTCTGGTGTCTCTGATAGGCCAGACAGGATAAACATCCAGAAGCTTTATTCTGGCAAAAAAAGCTAGAAAAGTCAATATGCACAATTCAAAATATGCAGTTATTAAATCATGATTATTGCTGGAAGCATCCAAAAGTTCAGCTCATGTAATTAAAGGAGTAGTTTTCCAGGACCTGGAAAGTTAACAGAAAATGATAGGCAAACCAGGTGCTGGAGACAGATATTCTCCAGAAAGCTACAAGAGATTGCCACTGAGACAAGGGTAGATACTCATTGGAACTTGGGTGATAAAAGCTGAAGAATTCTACTAGAGAGACTTCAGCACCAAAATCAACTGGGAAATAATGAAAGACCCCTGGTAGAAATTAAATTTTGGGACTTGGGATCAAATATGGAAACTTAATGATTTTAGCATTTCAAGAAGAAAAATGAAAAAAATGATTATGAAAAAAGTAGGAAGTGGAAAAGAACAGGAATAGGAATGGGTGAGGGAGATAAAGAGGAGAAATACCTAATAAAACTTTATTTTATGCAAGGAACTATTGTAGGTATTTTACCTACATTCTTTCATTGAATACTTACAACCCCATTGCAGTGGGTTGAATGGTGGCCTCCAAAGACATATATCATGTCCTAATTCCCACAACTATGAGTGTTACCTCATTTAGAAATAAAAGTTTTTGCAGATATAGTTAAGTACTTGTATTTTTTTATTCATTAAGCTTATTGGTACATTTTAGGTATACAATATGATGACATTCATCATTAGGAATCTGTAGCCTTACATGATATAGCTTTTTTTTTTGCTTAAATTCTTTTATTGGTATGTTATAGATATACAATACATTTACATTTATCATTGGGTGCTTGTACCTGTACATGATGTATCTGGTTCTTATTTTACATGATATATCTTGATTCTTATTTGTTCCATATTCCCCTGCCTTCTCTTCAACCCCTCTACCCCTCCCCATTTACAAAGACTTTATTTCTGTTTCTTCCTTTTCTCATATAAGTACTTGTATCTTGAAGCAAGATTATCCTGGATTATGTGATGAAACTTAAATCCAATGGCAAGTGTATTTTTAAGGGTCACACATAGAAGCAGCCAACAGAAGAGGAGGAACAAATGTATCAGTGGAGGCAGAGATTGGAGTGATACAGCCACAAGACGAAAAACAAGTCCACATGACCAGAAACTAGAAGTAAAGAATGAATAAGAATCTCCCCTAGACCCTCTGAAGAGAGTCTCTACCATCACCTATATTTTGGACTTCTGGTACCTAGAAACGTGACCATAAGTTTTGTGCCTTGTATTACTCAGTTTTCCACCACTGAGACAAAATGTCTGACAACTGAAACTTAAAGAGAGGTTTATTTTTCATTTATAATTTCAGAGGTTTCAGTCCATGGTTGGTTGGCTTCAAGGCAGAAATATCACAGCAGAGGATGGAAAAGAAACATTGCTGAATTTGTGGCATCCAGGAAGCAGAGAGCAGGGGAAGAGCCAGAGAGGAACTGGCCACACAAAATTTAATCTCTAAAGTCAGGTGTGCCACCATGACCCACCCAGACACACCTAGAAATGCTTTATTAAACCCCAGGGAACAATCAAGATTGACCATCACACGGTCATTTGTTAAGGCAGCCTCAGAAAGCTAATACACCTATGAAGTAGATGAAATCATTATCCACATTTTATAGATGAAGAAATGTGAACTCAGAAAACCTGAGAGAGATCTCAAGGTTGCCTATCTCTCAAGTGTCAGGGCAAGAAGAAGGGGAATCCAGGTAGTCTGGTTCCTGAGGTCATATTCTCAACCCCTGTGATAAATCATCAATTCACAAAAGCACAAGAATTATTCAGTGTCTCATGTCATTATAAAACAAAGCTGGAACTGCTGCTATCAAAGGTCAGAAAACAAGGCAGGCTGAAGTTTACAAGCTATCATGACTTTAGCTGTGAGAATGTGGAAAATTGGAGTTGAAGAAATGATGTAGGTGAGACTTGTTGTAAGAGAGTAACTGCTCCAATAATCATCCTATGCTCTGATGTCATCCTATCTGGCTAAGATAATTGAAGAAAACTTAAAATACATAAGCATGATTTTAGTAATATAAAGCTAGAAAGTATAAAAATATAAGTCAAATAATTTTTTTAAATACCAAAAGTATAAAATGATTATAGAGATTTATCATTTCCTTTGTCAGAAGTGCAATTTATCTCAATATTACTGAATAGACTCAGGAAGAGATAAAAATATCTATGTCACTTTTGAATCTAAAATAGAAGTGAAGATAGGGATTAAAATGTTATACTAGAATCAAAGCAGTTGGGCTTGGGTTTATGGAAACCAACAGCACAGATACCAAACTCTGCATCTAAGATTTAGGTATCAAGCAATAAAGCTCAGAGTGATATCATGAGATCCACATGTAACTCCACCTTCATCAGTTATCCAGTACCTGGAGATTATTTTCTTCTATTTATTTCTCAGTATGCCCTAGGTTAGCTACCCTACCTTCTCTTCTCTTGAGGTATTCATCCATGAGCCAGAGTGGGCTATGGTTATTGGTAAATAGGTAATAAAACAGCTTCCTACCATGAAATAAATCCTCTTTGTAGTGTTTGTCAGTGTCCATGGCATAAATACTACCATCATGGCAAATTTCAAGCTACCAAAGTTCTATTACCAGATCTGAAGTAAGAAAGAGATGTGTAATGGCCACCATTAATATCGTATTCATACCATATAGGTAGACTGGGCATGAACAGCCACAAGAATATAAATAATAGTAAAATTCAGTAATAATTTGGAAATGAAGTTTTGAGTGTTTATTATTTTTAAAAATTTATTTTAAAAGTTAATGGTTATACAATATAAGTTTTAATAATAGCTTTAATAACAGACCAACAAAATTCCTGAAAATATACCAATCTCCTCTACCCAGCAATGGGATATGGACACATGTTCTTAATCCAGTCTATCTTTGAATTCATGTTTCTACTCAGTGATTTTGGAGTAATTCACCATTCCATGTCTGTGTCCCTTGTAGCCCCAATATTTATTCTGAAAATTACTTTCACTCTTTATTCTCTAAAATGTGATTGACACAATGTTATGCAAATAGTAGATGTTTATGAATGCTTATGTATAATGGAATGTTTTATATTAATATACCTTATACAACTAAAACTTGAATATGAGACTACCTTTATTTTAAAAAGTGATGTAGCCCCCTGACCCTTGGAATTCTTTTCTGACCATCTGTCTTCACAGACGTTCTTCTCTGTGATTCATACACCACATCTCCCTTTTTTTCTCCCTATTTTTGCCTAAAAATTTCTTTAATAATACAAGATATATTTGTTATCAGTGTTCTCCAGTTACCTCTACAGCATGCCCCACAACCCTCAAACTTTCACATCTCAAGAAGTCAATTGAGGTTTTTGTTTTGTTTTTATTTACTTGTTTGCTATAAATGATTTTCCTGTTTCCCAAGAGGGCTTTTGAAGCTATTTGGTAAATTAATGCTACTGATGTGGCAGCACATCAACAAGCAAAGATAATGTCACAGATTGGTTTAGCATAGCTGCTGCCTCAGCATCCCTTTTGTGGGCCTGATATAACTTGTTTAAATCCCAATAATAGCCCATTAGCTTTGACCTATATAATGGCTGGGCGTGGTGATACACACTTTTAATCCTAGCTACTGGGGAAGTTGAGGCTGGAGGATCATGAGTTCAAAGTCAGCCTGAGTAATTAAGGGTAGCCTATCTCAAAATAAAAACCATACAAAGCTGGGGATGGAGCTCAGTGGTAGAACATCCATGGGTGTCTCCCTCCCTGCTTGGTAATTTACCATCCAGGTCACTTGTTCCTCATCTCATTGAACTGAAGCCTAACACGTTCCACAGCTGTTGACCATCTTAAAACCTAACAATCACCAGAGGAATCATATAAAAAGAATCTACCCCCTTCCCACGTATTTTCAACCAATC